TATATCACTTCTGAAAGGCACACACCCATATGCATTGCCTTACTTATGGTATCCCTGATATATCATTTCCAATTTTCACCTCATAGAGGCTAGCTTTTACCAAGGAAAGAAAGATATCTCAGTTGAGATGGTTTGCCTTTGAACATGCAAGCAATTCCTCGGCTGCTATGCTCAGTTTGGTATATTATCTGGTGGAAAGGCAGCTGCCTTTCAACTTTTTTCCACAGGTGTTCCTAAATTCAACACACAGAAAGCTTTCCACACCTTTCTGGGTTCTAAAGCAGGAAGCAGAGCCTAGCAAAACAATGTCAGCCTTATCTTCAATTTCCTCTCCTTCAGAGCTAACTGCGCTCCGTAAATCCTTGTACTTTGGGTTAAGATCCCTGAAATTCTCAATGAAGTTTTTAGGGCCTTCTACAAAGCCCTGTGTAATGAACGAGACTCTCTCTGAGTTCAGCGGGCTTTGTATTAAGACTTTAAAGGACTGAGACGTGCCACATGATAAATATTCAGGGGAACAAAGAGTTGCCTCAGTCTCAGGATATGAATTAAAGAGTTTGGGGGTCTTGTCCCATTTTTTAAAAAAAACCAGGAATGTCTAAAAGTCACAAATCATTTTCTCATTTTTCTTTCTTTTATCAAGTGATACCTAGCATGTTTCAGTAACTGTAAAAAAAAAAAATCAAGTGCTTTAAGTATCAGAATAGAAATGTGCTTTTATTTTTATTATTTTAAAGTAAGAAAAAAATCTCTCTTAAAAAGTCATGCAATTCTGCGCTTAGAAGCCAGTGTGGTGCAGTGGTTAGAGTGACAGACTAGGACCTGGAAGATCAGGGTTCAAATTCTCACTCGGACACAACGCTCACTGGGTGACCTTGGGCCAGTCACTGCCTCTCAGTCTTCCCTACCTCACAGGGTTGTTCTGTAGATAAAATGGAAGCTGAGGGCAAACTATGTACATCACTTTGAACTCTTTGGAGGAAAAGGTGGGATATAAATGAAGTAAAATAAATATTTGGTATACCAACACAAGGAAAGCACTTGATTGCTCTGAACATGATTTATAACCAAATAAATAGTCTGGCTCCACTGACATGTATTGCTTGTAAACCATTTAAAGGGTTTTGTTTACTGTTAAGCAGTATACAGATCTTGTTAAATGAAGGAATAGTGACCAGTGGACTGTAAATACCAGCTGTCCTGTTTTATCTCTGTGTTGCTGGCTCAGGCACATGCAGGCACAGGTGCTTGAACCAGCCCATATTGTCAGTTAGACTAGCACTGATGTGTGCATTACCTAGCAACAATGTGGTTGCTTTCAGTGCATCCAAACCCTGGTGGCTTCCTTCCCCTCAATAATATAACCCTTCTATCAAAGGGTTTTGAAAGAAGAGGTGTAATGGTGGTGCCTTAATGTGGGAGGAATTGAAAATCAGAATGTGGACTGCATACACACCATGCATTCAAAATTGACTAAGGGTGCTGGGAATTACAGCTCTGTAAATTACACTTCCTAGGATTCCATTGGGGGAATGTGCTATGAATAGTGTGTACACAGCCATGGCCACACATAGCAGGTGGCATGGCATAGCCAAGAGCCCAGTTTTGTATTTTTGCCCTTACGTTAGGCTCAGGTCTGGTGTCATCAAACAACATTCTTGGGTAGCTTCCAGGTACTGGTAGAACTCATTTCTGACACAAGCTATGACCCTCTCATAAAAAAACAATGTCCTGCGTTCTAAGTAGCAGAAGGCAACTGGGCATTTCCCACAATTCCACACAGCAATGTTATTACAGGGTCATGCAGGAGATTACATGGCAGCTAACAGAACCACATATTGCTGACGGAGACCCACCATGTGTTATTTTGCCAGGGATCTTTTCAAATCTGGGCCTGGTGATGCTGAATGTGCATGATGGAAAGTTTGTCCTATTGTGTGAACAATTTCACCACGGGAACTGCTCTGAAATACAGTGGTGCCTCGCAAGACGAAATTAATCCGTTCCGCGAGTGTCTTCGTCTAGCGGTTTTTTCGTCTTGCGAAGCAACCCTATTAGTGGCTTAACGGATTAGCGCTATTAGCGGTTTAGCGGCTATTAAAGGCTTAAAGGCTTAGCGGATTAGCTGCTAAAAGGCTATTAAAGGCTTAGCGGCTTAGATAAAGGGGGGGGGAAGCGAAAAAAAAATCTCAAGACTCGCAAGACATTTTCGTCTTGCGAAGCAAGCCCATAGGGAAATTCGTCCTGCGAAGCAACTCAAAAACGGAAAACCCTTTCGTCTAGCGGGTTTTCCATCTTGCGAGGCATTCGTCTTGCGGGGCACCAATGTATACCTTTATCTTAGCACAGGAAACCTTCCTTCCAAGAAACAAAAGAGTTAATTAGAGGGGGGAGGGGGGAATAGCTGAATATCAAAAATGAAATAAATTATCCAGGACATATTGTGCCCATAGAAGTGATGCCAAAAATTACTATTTTGAAAAGCTGTCAGATGGAGGCGTTTGGTGGTTTTGCAGAGCAGATATAGAGTAGAGAATGCCTCCCTAGAGTCATAGTCTGTTGATGCTGTGTAGCTTTAATTGAGATCTGATTCCAGGCTGTTCTCCCACTTCTGCCGTTGGCAGTCACTGCTACCTGTGGGTGGATGAAATTCCAGATGTAGAAACTCAAAACGTGAGCCTAGCCTACCCCTCTCCCCCATACACAAACTCCTCCACCCCAAACCGACATCTCATGGGACTGCTAATGGGAAGTTGAAACGCTTTGGAGAAATTAAAATAAAACTCGCTGTCTCCTCTCAAGGAAAGGTGGGGGAGGGGAGTAAACAGAATAGATTTTTCTCTATTTAAAGCAATTAAAACAAAACCCATTATGCCCATGCGACAAAACTGAGCAGCACATGCAAAAGCTAAGGCTCTAAAATAATAGCCTAGCAAAAACAACTGGCTCTCTTTTCGTCCTTGTTGCTGCTGACATGGCCTCCGTGCTCAAGTGAAATGTACGTGATAGATTTGCACTCGGAGGCCAGCTATCTTTCTAATAATAATAGGAATGCTAATACTGATTGTGGGGATCATGAGTGCTGATGAGCTGTGCATACCAGGGGTATGAATCAGCAGAATATACTTCCAACTGCTTGGCTAGGCAGTCCTTGAATCACACAGCTCCAGGGGACTGTAAAATATGAAAACCAGACAGATGTGCTTTAGAGAAATAAAAATAAAAGAGAAGGACTGGGCCGAAATGTTTCTTTCCTTCCCATTCTCCAGTGCGGGTGCAAGGCAGAACAAGTGTCAGCTTACATTTTGCTTAAATTAAAATTGGACCTTGCACAAATCATGCTACTATATATAATTTATCATTATTACAGTCAAAGAACAGACAACCGAAATAACAATAATAACATGCATAACTACGTCAGCACCAAGCAGCAGAAGCAATACACAGAATCCAAAATAGTCACCACGTATTGACATGAGAGTCTGTTTAGATGTTTTCTGAGAGGACGAGTTTTGATTAACAACTTGAAAGCCTCCAGTTCTCGTGGATTTTGTTATTGAGATAGTGTAAGTTGGGCTGCTATTGGAAGGCTCTCTTTGGCCCCACCCACACTGCACATTTAAGCATTCACAATTGTATCCCTAATGGGGGGTTCATCTGCTGAACGAGACTATGTGCCCACATTGACACCATCTATTTAAAACAGTATGATACTGCTTGAAACAGCCATTGCTTCCACCAAAGAATCATTGGTAGTGTAGCTTGTTAAGGGTGCCAAGCGTAAACCCCATTCCCTTAACGGAGCTACAGTTCCCAGATTTCCTTGGGAATAAGGATTGACTGTTAAACCTCTTTGAGAAATGTAGCTCGGTGTGGGGAATAAGGACCTCCTGACAACCACCAGCACCCTTAACAAATGCCAATCCCAGGATTCTTGGGATAAAGCCAAAATACCCCATTGACTTTGTGGTGCAGATGCTCCAAGACACTAGTCCAAAGGCTGGAGCAATCCAACCTTCATTCTGAATAGTCATAGTGTGATGCAGCCATTTAAGGAAATTCCCTTTAAAATCTGCAGAGATGTCAGATGGACTAAATCCCATACCTGAGTGGAACTTGTATGACGCAGAAGTTAATGGTTCCATCCCTCTCTAACTCAGAAGTAAACCCATTTGCTTATTGCATGACCAGGCACAACAGCCCCAGCCCCCAGGGAATGTGGGAAAGCTTGTTCTCCTTCATGGAGAGCACGTGTTGCGGTGGGGGCCGCCAGGACACTCCAAAGTTGGGGGGCGGGCTAATTGATCGTTGGCCACTGATACGATTGGGGCTTCCCTTGTTGTTGGGAAGAAGTTAATGTTGCCATTTTTTGATTGACAGCCAGAAATAGTAAAACTCCTTGCACGAGGCTAGGGCTTCCTCTTTTCGCCCGTGCATCAGATTGCCCGTCCCTCCCTCCCTAGAAAAGGGTTGTTCGCTTTGACCTTGCTATGCCTGTCATGGGGTCGTCTGCTTTGGAGCGGGGGCCTGTTACGAATTTTGTCCATCTGGCTGATTGGCTGGGGCCATTTGGTTTTTGTCTACTGCGTAGCAAATCGTCACAACTTGTAAGGTTCGCGGTTAGGCATTGGTTTATGGTTTGGTTGGTTGAGGGGCATGGATTGGCTGTGCCTGCCCCTCTAATGCTGCTGCTGCAAGGGATTCCATTAAAGGAATTGGGGGCTAACTATTGCTTGTCCACTCTGTCAAGGGGCTCGGGCCATAGCAATGAGCTCCTGGTTGCATTTGGGGTGAGGGCAGGTTCCCTGCTCCGCGTAACCCCCAAGTGTATTCCCCCATTCTGACTTTCGCATCGTGCGGAATGTCAGTCTGTCCCCCATGGTGGGGGCAGATAGAACGAGGCTGCAATTCTGTGCACACATTCCTAAGAGGAAGTCTCACACTGAACTTAATGGGTTTATTTCTGGGTAGACAATCATGGATTACACCATTAGCTGTGATCCTATGTATACATTTGAAGGAAATGAGCACTCACACTATGCTGTGGGTGCTACAGTTCCCAGGGAACAGCATAGTGTGAGTGCTCATTTCCTTCAAATGTATACATAGGATCACAGCTAATGGTGTAATCCATGATTGTCTACCCAGAAATAAACCCATTAAGTTCAGTGTGAGACTTCCTCTTAGGAATGTGTGCACAGAATTGCAGCCTCGTTCTTTTTGAATTATGCTTGTTATCACAGTTGTTATGCCTCTGTAATTTATCTCACAACTATCAGCACTATCGCAATTATAACATGAGAAAAGTTCTGCAATTTGTGTTTTGTTATATTTCTACTATTCTCCTGGGGTGCAGCTACCATATTATCTACAGCCACACCTTTCTTTCATCAAACTATACGTTGAGACGATATTAAGAGCTGCCTTTCTCTTATCTTCCTTCTGAAAACCTAACAGAAGACAATGCTCCTCTGATTTAGCCTGGCTGTCTTAATTTCCATTACAATTTAAAACACAGCAGGATGACTCGAATGTGTCTGTGAAATATGGCAGGAAGATTCAGTTTAAACCTATTAGTTAGAATAAAATGAACAATTTCAAAGGCATTTCTGGCAATTATTTTTGTTAAAAACATTGTTGTTTTCTGTCAATATTCAGACTACAAATCAGTTTCAAAGCAAATCGGTTTTCGCTCCATCCATGGTTTTCAGAAACCCAAAGTGCCTATTCTGTTACACGTTAAACATTGGCTCCCCTATCAATTTCATTGCTGCATGCTACCCAAGACACAGTTTAGTGATGGACATTTCTTGTGAGCCAAATTCTCAGCTGGGGCAAAGTAATCTGACTGTATTTTTTAAAACACATTTCTTTTAAAGGGGTAATGGGCACGAACCACCCTGTTTTGCATGCACAAGTCAGAAAGCTATGCACATGGTACAAAGTCCTTATGGTGTTCATTGGCGGTTTCAAATCATTCCTCATTCTTTGCTGATAGGCATGCTTAGCGCTGAATGGAGTCCTTGCCATCAGTGATAATCTGTGTAGCTCCCATCCTCTCCAGAGAAGTGTACACAGGCAAGACATGCTATGAACATAAATAGCACACATTCTCAGTTCATTAGGAGGAACCAGGCTGCTGCATCCATGTCTTGCAAGCATTCATGGATTTCTTGTTAACTTGATGACTGAGTGCAATGTGTATATTTGGCAGAGTAGGTAACTAAGGAAGGCACCTCATATCAAGTCAGACTTTGGGTCCAACCAGCTCAGTAATATCTACACTGGCAGAGATACTCTGGATCTTCAGACAGGAGTTCTTCTCAGCCCTTCGTCAAGATGTTGGGACTCTAACTTCAGATCTTCTGCATGCAAAGCATGGGCTCTTGTTCTTCTGTGATTGTACGTGGATGCCCAAGTCTTCTGCAATTTCAACCCTGGGCAAATTTGATGTGTATTTTGAATGTCTGGTCTGAGTCTTTGAAAGGCATCTACACAGAGGATCAAAAGATTGACAAAATCTAAAAATTGTGAAAATGCCATTTATCACATTCCGTCTGTCTTTTAAGTCCTATGTGGGAAAACTACTTAACAAAAAATCTAAACCATCCAAAACCTGGCAACATTCTTGACCATTCCATACAACTGAGGCAGACTCTAGTCTGCCAAAGGTTATGGCACAACTGATTTTGCAAAACCTAAGATATCATAGTAGCCTCTCTTTCTGTTTCTCCTGCCTGCCCCCTGGTAGAATTTTTGTCTTCAAATTTAGAAGCTCCAGATTAAAACAAAACAAAGCATAGAAGTCCCTTGATTTGCCTGAGTCTTTGCTTGGCAGTATAACTGTCATAAAAACAGCACAACTCTCTTTCTCTCTTTGTGTGTGTGTGCATGTGCAAATCCTGAAGGAAGATTGTTTTCTTTTTCCTCCAGTGTTAACAGAAATGTAGTGAATCCCTTTATCTCCAAATATTGTTGTCTAAACTAGGAAGGTAGAGCAGCATTTTTAATACTGATGGTCCGACAGAATGGAGAAATTGGTGGTTTTCATCAGTGAGCTCTTTGATTGAAGGCAGATAGTTACTTAGGTCTCATTACATGTGGTTTGCTTGGCTAAAAATAGAGACATTCAAAGCTTGACATCAATGTCTTAAAAGCCACTCATGGGATAGACAACAGCTTCTTTCTTTAAGCCACTTAATTTTTTGCCATCAAATTAATATTTTATTATTCCTGGGGGCCCTCTACATGGTCTTTATGGTTTTCACAAGAACAACATGAACTGCTCATACAAATATTAAATTGTGTCAGGAAAACCCACTGAGAGAAGGTGCTGGAACTAAATGCTTTGGTGTCTAAGATAAGTAATTAACTGCTGGACAAGGGCTTAAAACTTGCAAAGGTTTGTTTTTAAAGAAAAGCCAGAAGGGAATGAAAAATATAAAGAAGTAGAATGTCAAGGAACAATACATGCCAACCAAAATGTTTGGTTCGTCATCTAAACACACAGCCAAATCCTAGAACATCGCGTTCAAAGGATTTGATCAAGAATCATCTCTTGGAAAACAAATATTTCACAACTTTAAACCTTTGCATAGCTCACACAAGAGAATGATTTCACAAAAGGAAGCAGGTTTTTAATTTGCTGTCACTGATCACAAGAGTATCAATTATTTTTTGATGGGGCCTTCTTTCATCTTTTACCTGAAGAGATATTCATTGCTTTATAGACCTTTTCTTTTTCATCAGTCACTCAGAAATAAAAGATTTATGATGTCAGGTGTGTGTTTTTTTCCTCCCCTAACCTCACTGTAGCACAAAGGAACACATTTGTTTAAAATGTATGCTGCTCACACCAAAGTAATAGTTCACCAAAAGAACAAAGAGCCACCATTAGGCTTCCCATTTTAAAACGTTTCAATGCTGCATTTTTAACAATCAGATGGTAGAAATCCATAGACAAGAATAAATGTCATGGGCTTCTTATTTTGATTCAAAGGGCCCCTTTTTCCAGACTCTCTATTTTTTTAATTTCATCTTCAACCCTAAAATTTTAGCTATTTATTTAAAAATAAAGAATTATAGTTGGCCAGAGATTATACAAGCCCCACATTGGTTATGTTACAAGCCGATTTCTTCCAGCTTTGCAGTTCAATGTATCTATGATAAATCTTCCTTTTTGGTTCGTGTTTGAAATCTCAGGAATTGGGGTTTATAGTTTCTTCAGTTGGTACAACAACAGGATGAACACAGTAACTACAGAAGACCATTTGTGGAGGACACAGTTGGAACAGACACGTTGCAGATGAAAGAAATGGGTGCGGGAAGGTAATCGAAGAAGGGGACATCGGAAGCCAATTCTGGCTGAGCAGAACAGGATGGCTCCGTACAAGAGACGAGAAGTAGGTCAGCGTCGCTTGGCAGAAGGAAGAGCAGAGTGAGCCAACCTTGTCAGAAAGACTTGCAATGGAGATGGATGATTCCACTGAAGAAGAAAGGAATGAGCCAAACCTGTCAGGAAAGAGCCAGGCCAGACTCATCAGGGGAATGGGGAGTGGTGCAAGCGAGCCCCATTGCTGCGGAATTTACAAAGCCTGAAATCAATATAACTTCAGGATGAAGAAACAGGAGACCTAGCTAGGGGAGGAAATGAAAATGCCTTGCCAATAAAAGAGCTTAGCTTAGAAATAAGAACAGAAAACAATATATTGCTCTGTGCTAAAATACTTCTGCACAGGGAGACTAAAAACAGCAACCCTATATGTGCTTGCTTGGGAGTCAGTCTCATTGAATGTGGTGGGGCTTACTTTTGAGTAGACATGCATCGGATTCCTACGTAAGAGTCACCTCTACAAAGCTGTAGCTTCTTGTTCATTAGCAGTAGTGAGATGTTCTGTTTATATGGTGTCTCTTCAGATGGTTTATTCCTAATTTCCTGAACCTTTGAATATCTATAGAAAACATATTGTTGTTTTCATGCGTAATTTAAAGACGGGGAGGCAGAATAGAGTTGTTTAGCACTTTCTCTGACTTCGTGATCTTCAAATCTAAGTTAACCATATAAACTATCAGGCTGGGAATGAAATTAGAGTAAAAATACAGTAGCCAACATACAGTGTGGTTTTAATCTTATTTCCTAGTGTGGAATTCCTAACAATTTAACACAGTTTATTTGGAATCTAAGGAGCTAATTATGAACCATTATGTGCAAAATCCTATAACAAGAGTCCTAATGCTGAATCTTTGAAGGAAGGATCTTACCGAGAAGTCATAGAGGAAGAATTCCTTGTTTGTCTGCTCCAAATCTCCACCTCAAGTGGCCTTCAGAAAGCATCTTCAAATGTGGTTTGAAATTTTATGAAGTGAAATATACTCAGAGTCGCAAGTGATTTCATACTCTTTATTCAGCTCATAGTGGTGAGGAGGAATGAATGAATGTCCCCTCAAAGTATCTGCTTTATATACATTATTTACACAATGGGCTGCACATGATTGGCTAATTCTGGAATTCTACTGTAAGCCAATCAGGTTGTGGATTCAATTATATCTGGAGCATGGTTGGGTGGTTCCTGCCAACCAATCATACTGCTGCATTGTTCTAGGACCAATCAGACTGCTGCATTCTGAATCCGATTGTTCTAGGACCAATCAGACTGCTGCAATTTGGATCCTATTGTTCTAGGACCAATCAGACTGCTGCAGTTTGGATCCTATTCAACTCAGTACATAACATGAAGGAAAAGCAACTGGGAGGGAGAAGGATTTAGAACAGGGAAAAGATCAGTGGGAAAATAGTTTTAAAATGAAACAAAAAATATATATACTGCCACTGCTCTGCTAAAACTCCATTACAGCTTTCCCCCCCCCCCCCAAAAAAAAGAAAGAAAGAAAGAAAGAAAGAAAAGAACAACACTGTTGAGACCTTTTACATACATTTCCATGTGATGTAAGGGTATATCTCTTAATTAACCTCCAAATAGACTTTTAAAAACCAAAAACCAAAATATATCTCAAATTTCTCACCAGCTTATGTTCAACAACTAGTCTTTAAACGTCAGTCAAATATACCCTAAATAATGGTTATCTGTGTTTGATGACTGTATTGGCTATGTATATTGGATGATACTTGATTTGATATTTGATATTTTACTTAGCTACTTCGTATCAGTATTTTTATGCTTGACATGCAAACCTATTCAACAGTTTGCTGCCTCTGGCTAGTTGGCATTTAGTATTTGATAGCATTTGACAGATAGCATGCAATGCTGCTTGGGAATGTGTTTTTTGTTTTTTTGTTTGTTTGTTTGTTTGTTTGTTTTACAATATTTTGAAGTTGGTAGCTTTCTAAAGTAGATTTTACATTTGATACCTGCTCCTCAAAAATAAATAAATAGAGATGGCAATGAGCCTGAAGGGCTTGAATAATCAGAAATACCAAGATGAAATTTCACATCCAAATGGGTATTTGAATTTCAGATTAGAAAATCCATATCCAAACTTCAAATGGCAAAATGAGGTTTTGATTAGAATAGATTTTGTGTAGATTTTGGAAGATTAGGAAGATCCACATTATCTGCTTCATTGTATCATTAAAAGAGTAATGGGACAAAAAGTCTCCACAGAGAAAGCTTTGGTGGGACTGATGGGACCATGTATTACCTGCCTCTGCAGGGAATATAACTCTCTGTCAATATTTCAGCTAGAAGCAGCACCCCATAAATGTAGCTCGGCACATGGGATACTTCTATTTGCAGAAGGATGAAAATGAGGTGACTTTTTCCCAATTTCCCATATAGCTTCTGAAAATCTGGTGCTTGGGGGCCCTCTTGAAATGGGGAAAGGTGGCTGCAGGTAGAAGGACAGTGAGTAAAAACTACTCCTCTCCTTCTACTGGCAGATCCTGTGTCAGACTGAAAGCTGTTTGTGAATGGAAGTCTTCCTTCCATTCATAGAAGGCACACTTAAAATACAAATTTCTGGGGCTTCTAAAGTAGAAGTAGTAGTAGCAGTAGTAACAACAACAAAACATGATACTTACAGAGTTAATGCAACAGCAAGCTAAAGAACTAAAGGGATACACACACACAAACTCCATCAGGTATAATTTTCTCCATAGAGTAAAACAAAGAGTTCAAAATTTGAGTAAAGGGAGAAACATGTTAAAATACAGAGTGCCCCAATGCTATCTGAGGTTACATCAAGCCTTTTCCTATTTGCAAACACTAGTAAGCTTTCACGTCCTCCTCCCTCATTTTATATATGACTTGGAACAGCTTGATGTGAAAGGCAGTCCATAAATTGAAACTGCATTTTATTTGAGAGGAGATAAAGATATTGAAATGGCAAAGGGGAAGAGAGAGAAAACACAAAAACACCAGCTTTTAAATGAGGCACACTTGAGCTGAAAATGCAAACCACATTAATCCAAGAGGGTTGAGGTTGAGGGTTCTCTCTCTCTCTCTCTCTCTCTCTCTCTCTCTCTTTCTCTCTCCCAGTTCTTCCCAGGAAAGAGCCCAGAAAAGGAGGGCATTTAAAAGAGTAAAACATAAAACTTAACAACGGAAGATGCTACAAACGCAGAATAGCAAATAAACGTACATACCATCAAATGAATGCAAGAGGCCAGGGTGGAAGCCAGCAAATCTGGTTGGAATGTTTAAAGAAAGGATGGAAATCATTAGAATTGGTAAATGGGGGGATGTGCTGGTGGTTGGATACGCTTTATAGAGAAAAGTACACACGTTGCTGAGCTGTGAAATATGACAGTCTATGCTGGTCTATGACCGTAATAAAGTATTTGATGATGATGACAGGCTGTAGGTCAGTGGTAGAGCATCTGCTTTGCATGCAAAAGGTCCCAGGTTCAATCCCCAACAACCCCAGGTAGTGTTGGGAATATCCCCCACCTGAGATTCCAGAGAGTCAGTGTAAATAACACTGAGCTAGATAGACTTCCTATCTTCTGAGGTTCCAATTTCCAGGTTGTAGCCTAGAAAACTCATTATCACACTGTCTTGTACATTGGTACCTCGGGTTAAGTACTTAATTCATTCTGGAGTTCCGTTCTTAACCTGAAACTGTTCTTAAACTGAAGCACCACTTTAGCTAATGAGGCCTCCCGCTGCCGCTGCGCCGTTGCAGCGCATTTCTGTTCTCATCCTGAAGCAAAGTTCTTAACCCGAGGTACTATTTCAGGGTTAGTGGAGTCTGTAACCTGAAGCGTATGTAACCTGAAGCGTATGTAACCTGAAACGTATGTAACCCGAGGTACCACTGTATTTTGAAGATGGCCTATCATTTTAGGAGTGAGAAAGCCACATAGCTTAATGGTAGAACCAGGGGCATAGGAAGCGGGTGGGGTGGGGGTGCGGCACGCCCCGGGTGTCATCCTGAAGGGGGTAACATTTGGTATGCCCTCTCGCCCGTGACTACGAAGCCTACAGTGAGCGGCAGCCCCAGGGCCACCAGCAAAGCAACAAGGCAACTCACTGTAGGCTTGGGAGCTGTGGCGGGGGGGGGCACTGTTGCCCATTATCCTGGCTGGAGGAGAAAGGCAGGCAGGCAGGGGAGAGGACGGGTGTCATCCCTGAAGGGGGTGACATTCGGTGCGCCCCCCGCAGGCGGATTGGCGCAGCACCGATCACAGCCCCGGGAGGATAGCCCCACCCCCGGGGGCACATCATGTTTGCCACTCCAGATGCCTGAGCTGCTTCCTCCACCACTGGGTAGAACACATGATCTGCTTGCAAAAGGTCCCATATTCAATATCCAGCATCTCCAGGTAGTACAAGGAGGACACCATGTCTGAAACCCTGGGCAGCCACAGCCACTCAGTGCTGACAGTACTGAGAAAGACAGACCAATGGTCTACACATAGAGACATAAATTGCCTTTGCTGCCTTCCACAGATGAATTTTGGGGTCAGTGTTCACACTGAGTTGTCTTCACATTGTCGGTCTGTCATTCTTTTGGTGTTTTGAAGATGCCTTCTGGTAGAACAAGTTGTAAGCCATCTTACATTTTGCAATGCATTCTGAAGCCCTTCTTGCCTTTGGGTGGAAACTGAAAGCACCTTCTCTGGGGACCTCCTGTTGAGGAGGGTAGCAATATGGAGCCATTTCCTCTCTACCTGCGACTCCCTCTCCACCCAATCTGCACTGGGTATGTGGGTTGGAGAAGAAGAGTCATTGGCCATTTCCCCTGTTTCACTGACGGATGTCTTTTATCACCAGAGGGACACTAACTGAACACCACCTGCTGATTTCAATGGGACATTAAAGCGACTAATGTTGGGGGGGGGTTATTGGTTTGTTTTTGTTGTTTTTATTATGTATTTTGTGTTCTTTATCTTGTATTTTTATGTTGTGAACCGCCCTGAGCTCTACGGATGAAGGGCGGCATACGAATTTTAATAATAATTACAACAACAACAACAAATGACCTGGATCCCACCCCCAGAGTTCCAGGTACACATTTTCTCCTTCTGATTGTGCATTGCAAGCCCCCCAAAAAACATCCATTGCTTTGCAGAAATGCCCTGAATCTGACTTTCACTGTTATTATAACTAATAAGAATAGACAAATTCATTGAGCATAAGGCTTTCAGGGGTTACCAATCATGATGGCTATATGATCTCCAGAACAGGATGCATCTGAATACCAGTTTCTGGGCATAATGGACAGGGGAATGCTATTGCACTCATGTCCTGCTTGTAGATTTCCTTAGGCTGGCCACTGTAAGAAAAGAATGCTTGACTAAATGTACTTTTAGTCTGATACATCAGGGTTCTCTTTAAGTACTTATGGCCATATAAGCAACATAGTTTTCCCACCCGCCCCATCCCACCTTCAGGACAACGCTCAACTAAAAGCTTAGAATTATCTTCAAAATATGTGAGCCTCTGCTCCTCTACAATAACTTACAACAGCCCTCTCACTCAGCAATTTCAGTTCACAGTCCCCAAATCATTTATAGAGCAGTGCTATTATCAGATTGACACCCACACCTTTAGCTAATATTTGTTGTCCATAGTTCATGAGATATTTTTATCTCTCAGGTGTTAAAATTAATGCATTTTCTTTCTGTTCTGTATCAGCTGCAGAGCACTCATAAATTAGATTGGATCCTTTCCAAAACAAGAAATTAACAGCTAAGAGGATTTAATGTTCAGTGCTTAAATAATGCCTTGTCAAAGGTTTTGTATCTCGTAAAATCTAATGGGCAGATGTATTTCACTGCGACTACTACTTAATATTTATTCAGTGCCACCGGTAGGCTAGACAGTGCACAAGAGAAAGGAGTGGTGGTGTCCCTGCTCAAGGAACCAGCCTGATGTCTGAAATGTGTACTTGGAAGTGTTTAGCACTTTGGGGGACACGAGGAAAAGTTTCCCTGATGAGTGGAGGCCATGAATTTGGGAAGTTATATAAGATTGGACAGAAAGATGATATGCTTTGTTTTAGACAATGGGAAAGGATGAACAAAAGACGCCAAATATTCAAATAATGAAAATGGGGGAAATGAGCAATTTTGGAGGACATGTAGCTCTTCTACTGCCAGTTCTAAATTTTATGGGGACTTTGGGCACTAACCTCTCCATGAGAGGACTCCTGCTCCAATTAAACACAGTGGGATAGCCACTTCAGAGAGCAGATCCTGAGAAAGGATTAGGAGATCTTACAGTGTGTGTCTCATGAAAGTCCCCCTCCTTCCCTGTAGACCCTCCTGGGTTTTAAGGTCAGCAGAGGAGGCCCTCTTGGTAGTTCGACCTCCACCAGAGGCTGGGAGGCAGGAGATGACATTCTCTGAGGTAGCCCCCAAGTCGTGGAATTCCCTCCCCACAGTGATGTGTCTGACGTCTTCACTCTGTAAGGTAAAGGTACCCCCTGACCATTTGGTCCAGTCGCGGACGACTCTGGGGTTGCGCGCTCATCTCGCTCTATAGGCCAAGGGAGCCAGCATACAGCTTCCGGGTCATGTGGCCAGCATGACTAAGCCGCTTCTGGCGAACCGAGCAGCGCACGGAAACACCGTTTACCTTCCCGCTGGAGGTATTTATCTACTTGCACTGGTGTGCTTTCGAACTGCTAGGTGGGCAGGAGCTGGGACTGAGCAACGGCAGCTCACCCCGTCATGGGGATTCGAACTATCAACCTTACGATCGGCAATCCCTAGGCTCTGTGATTTAGACCACAGCGCCACCTGCGTTCCTTCTTCACTCTGTAGCTTTTAGCAAATGCTGAAGATGCAACTCTTAACCTTGACCTTTGGTACCTGAAATGTATGCTTTCAGGGCCCACCCTATTCCTGGTCCTGTAATCTGTTCTAAATTTCCATTTTATTTTTATATTAAAAAATGTTATTAAGGTTTATAGAGAAAAACACAAAACTTAATATCTTTCCCCTTTTTTTAACCGATTCAAAACTTTTATCTAGATTCAAAAAAAATTCAAAAGGGGGAGACAGCTAGAGAAGGAAAAAGAAACACATTTCAAAATGAGTATAAAAGAGGTTTAAAAAGAAAGACAGAAAAAGAAGAATCTGTTTTAAATTGTAAATGGTTGTATCCTACCATGGGATTTGCAGGTGAAGGGTGGATAATAAATTTAATCATCATCATCATCATTTGTCCTGCACTCCCTAACAAAATAATTGCACTCCTGCAACATAAACATTTGCTTACTCTGTTTTATGGCAGGGCTGGCTCAAGTATACCATATTTCCTGCTTAGCCATGTGCACATGCTATTCAATATAAGAAGAGCCATGCAGGATCAGAGCAAGGATTGATCTAATCAAGCATCCTCTTTCATACAGTAGCCAGCCAGATGCCTCCGGGAAGCTCACAAGCAGGGCTTGAAGCCAAGAACCCTTCCCCACACTTTGTCCCCAGCATCTGGCATCCAGAGGCAGGGATGGGGAGCCTGTGGCCCTCCAGATGTTGCTGGACTCCAACCTCCATCAGCCCCGGCCAGCATGACCAATGGCCAGAAACAGTGGGAATCATAGTATAGGAAGGGGCCCAGTTTTCCCAGACCTAGTCTAGGGTCTATTGGCTTGGAAGATCCATTTAGCTGTTGAGTTAATAACTCTTAAGAAACCTGTTTTCTATCAGTCTGCCCAGTCCTTGCAGAAACACATAGCAGGAATAATGTCTGTATTCACTTTTTTATTATTTCACAAAATTAAATATTTCATATATATATATATATATATATATGTTTAATTTGGGGGGGGCAGTGTATTTCTCTTTCCCACCCCATGCGCCTGGTACAAGTTACATTCTCATTATTGGCCTGTCTATGGAAACTGATTTCTTTCCCCACTCCTTTTTTTATATTTCCTCCTCCTGTCTTCAAAAGAACAGCAGAAAAGGCTCGATGATTGGTTTTTTAAAAACATAATTGAGATTGCATCTTATCTCAGAGTCAGAACCCTTTATGCTGAATATTAGCCCCCATTAATGTCTTTTTCCCCCTTTTCTTTTTCCTTTTTTGCTCTCGGAACATGGGGATTTGAAGCAGAAGTGATGACGGATGCTCACATTGAAGCAGCATCCAACAGATGCAGCTTTAATAAAGATAGCATCGGGAATCAGCCCCTTGGTTTGAGTTTCATAAAGTTTGTTAGGGAAATGTTTTGGAAAATAAAGAGTTAGAAGTGTGTTTTAATGATGTTCACATGTTTCCCAAAGCAGGAAAGTTGATATATGCAGGCGTCGAAAGCATTACATGCTAATTTCATTAAAGCGAGGGAAGAGAGTGTGTATAAAGAGCCCAAAAGTAAACACTATTGACCTCACTGGCAAAAGGATGAACATGAGAACCTGCTCCGACAAGCCAGAATGTTTTGCCTTTGCAACAACAGAGCAGGCGATGGTTGTCTTTAAAAT